ATGTCATAATGATATCAATCATGTTGATTATATCCTATTATAGATGAGGATTGACTAATTATGCTTATAATACATGTCACTATATCAGATCATAATCATACTGACTATAACATATTATAGACTGCATCATAATATATCATTATTATATCAATCACGTTGATCATATCATATATTATAGATGAAAATTACTGATTATATCATGACATTGGCTGGAAATAGAAATAATATTGCTCTACCTCATATTACCTATAGGGCAGCTAAGCAAAGCAGAGGGCTGGGCTAGCATCAGAGACACATGAATTTGAACCCTGCCCCAGATAGGACTGAAGTGACTTTAGGAGAGTCCACTGACCTCTCGGTTTCTTCATTTGGAAAACGAGAGTAAGAACAGCACCCCCCTCATAGGATTGTTGTGAAGAGCAAATGAGAAAACGTGTAAAAAGTGCCCTCTACATGCGTGCTGCCACTATTCACGTTATTACAGACTCAGCTAGATAGGGAGCTGGCGCCTGGGTTCAAGCCCTGCCCTACGGTCTGCCCCAGGGGAGCCGCTTGTCCCTCACCCCCCCCCCACCCCACAGTGTTACAGATCTACAGATGAGCTGCCATCTGCATTGGAGGAGAGTTTCCACACCAGAAGTTCCTCATCAGAATGATTACAGATCTGTGCCCCAAACTTCTAATATTGAGATATATCATACATGCTACATTGATTTATGATATGTTTCAATATTATGGATTTGATATTTGACATATATTATATCTATGAGAAGAGGATAGAAGGGGGAGCATGAGGTAGTGGCATGAGTCCAGGGTCTGAGTTCAAATCCCGCCTTTGCTACTTATTACCTCTGTGACCTTGGAGAAGTCCCTTCCCTTCTCTTGGCCTCAGTTTCCTCATCTGTAAAATGAGGGAGCTGGATGACCTCAAAGGCCCTTTGCTGAGGCTTAGAAGACAGTATTAGTCTCTGACCCAAACTGCTAAGTAGGGCGATATCACTATACCAAAATTAGCAGCTAGATGGCGAAGTGGAGAGCACTTTGGGCCTAGAGTCAGGAAGATTCGAGTTCAAATGCAGCCTGGGAAATGTGTTGCTAGTGACCCTGGACAAGTCATTGAATCTCTGTCTGGATCAGTGTCCTCATCTATAAAATGGGGATAATAAAAGCACCTACAAGGCTGTTGTGAGGGTTAAATGAGAGAATATTTGCAAAATTGAAACAAACATTAAAGTGCTATGGAAACACTGGACATCGTTATTAGCATTAGCATTAGATTCCTCTGAGGAAACCGCAGAGTTTGTGGGATGGCTCCCAGCTTTCCCCTGAAATAAATCCCCATCTTTTATAACACTGAGATTCTTCTAGGGAGGGCACACGGCTGTGAGGCCAGAAACTCATGGTGCTGAGGGGCCACAGAGGGGCTCATGGACACGCCTGAGGAGTGGGGGGCAACGCTTTACAAACAAGGGGCCCAGGGATGGGGAACCATTATAAAGGAAGCTGATGGAAAGACGTGACAAGAAAAAATAGTGAGTCATGTACCAAGGAAAAGAAAGGGATGATGGTCCATGGGCTCCATTGGGGTCTACACAAAGTCAACAGAATGAGAGGAAGCCCCCATCCTGTGGTGGACAGACTCTCATGGGGGACAAGAGTGGTCTGAGCTCAGCACTGTTGGTCAGACAGCCACGGGATTCCAGGCCCCACTGGAAAACTGAAAGGAATTCAAGGTCAACTACAAATTCCTTTTGTTTGGCATTCAAGGCCTTTCCCAATATGGCTCCCCTCCTCTCTCTTCAACCTTTCACATTCAGACACTTCACACACTAGATGTTCCAATCAGACTGGCTTACTTGCCATCCCTTACACTAAATCAAGTCAAACCAGTATTTATTAAGCACTTACGGTGTGCCTAGAACTGTACTAAGCATTGTGGATATAAAAAAGGCAGTACATGGTCCCCTCTCAGATAGCTTATTCTCTGAAGGAGGAAGACAGCATACAAAGAACTGCTCTCCAAAAACCTCTCTGCTCTTCTATCACAAATTCTTAAATGGAGCGATCCCTTCTTACCAGCTTAGCCTGGTAACTAGGGTGGGGTGGCTGGTGCTTTGCCACAAAGGCTTGAAATGAAGAGGGCAATGACAAGTCAAATTAGCATTAAATCAAATTAATTAATTTCTATATATTATGTTTTATATTTCTCATATTATGTTTTTATATAATACATATTATTTATATATATGTATACATAATATATATTATATATAAATATGTATTTCTAATAATAAATATATAAATATATTTGTATATATAATATATAATTGTAAGTATATGTATTTATAATTTAATTTAATTAGCATTAATATTGGAAAGCTGAAGGTGGAGAGTCCCCTTCCTGATCTGTAGGGAGGGCCCAAGGTGAGCGACAAACCAGATGCAGACCGAAGAAGATGGAGGCCAGCAGCAGAGGGAAGGTACGAGCATTGAGGGGGACCAGAAGAAGCTTCTTGCAGAAGGTGAGATTTTAGCTGACCAGAAGGAAGCATTCCAGACATGGGGACGGCTAGTGGAAAAATTTGCTGACCTGCCACCAGACATTCCTCCTCCATCTCTGTGCGTTTCCCCACACCTGCAATGTTCTCTCTACCTCCTAGAAGCCCAACTTTCCTACCCAAGGGCCACCTTTGGTATGAGGGCTTTCCTGAGCCCCTCCCTCCACATTCCCTTTACTTCATCTATATCACTTTTGTAGCTGAGGACTTACTGTTTCCCCTTAGAAGGGAAGATCCTTGAAGGTAGCTGATTCACTGATGTCTTTGTATCTATAGTGTCTGACACATAGTATAAATATGTGAATGAAAGAAATAAATAGTTACTAAGTGTCTGCTGGTTATCCTAGTAGGTGCTAAACAAACAGGTGTTGATTGGCCTATCAAATGATTGCTATTCCTTCCATGAACCCAGATCACTGCCTTTCTACATGTACTGGCAGCCTGAAAGAAAACTCTGGTTGAAAAACTCATCCCTCGGGGGCAGCTAGGTGGCGCAGTGGATAGAGCATGGGCCCTTGAGTCAGGAGGACCTGAGTTCAAATGTGGCCTCAGACACATAACACTCCCTAGCTGTGTGACCCTGGGCAAGTCACTTAACCCCACTTGCCCCACCAAAAAAAAAAAAAAGAAAAGAAAAGAAGAGAGCTTGTCTCCAAGTCAAGAGTCCCCAGCTCCAACACCTTCTGGCTGTGTGACCCTGGGCCAGTTGCCTGAGTCTTGAATGAGACCCCAGCTACTTTCCAAGACAAGCAGGGGCAGAACAGATGCCCATTCATGTTGGGGAAGGAAGTTGCTTACACTGATGAATAAAGCTGGAAGGGACCTTAGAAATCATTTAGTCTAATCTCCTCATTTTACAGCTGAGGAAACTGAGGTCCAGGGAAAGGCTTAGCCAAGGTCATCCAAGGCAAGCTAGGTGGCAGCTGGACAGTACAGTGGATAGAGTGCCAGGCCCGGAATTAGGAAAACTCATCTTCCTGAGTTCAAATCTGGCCTCAGACACTTACCAGCTGTGTGACCCTGAGCAACCCTGTTTGCCTCAATTTCCTCATCGTAAAATGGACTGGAGAAGGAAATGGTAAAGCACTCCAGTCTCTCTGCCAAGAAAAGCCCAAATGGGGTCACAGAGAGTTGGACATGACTGAAAAATGCCTGAACAGCAACAATAACAAACTTATATGGCTAGTAAGAGAGCTGGTAAGCTAGAAATAAAGAAAAGAAAAAAGACTCATCTTCCTGTAGCCTGCCTAGGGCAAGGCCTGTCCAAAAGGAGTTAAGACTAGTACTGAGACGACAGCCACGTGGTCCATCACCAGGGCTGCACTCAAAGCCTTGCCAGCTCTGTAGGACATTCTAGAGAGCCTACCCTATCCTGGGGGAATCAAGGCTTACCTCTACCTCACCTCCACCCTAGGATGAGGTAGCACACTAGGGTGTTACTATGAGATATCAAATAATACTAGGATAGTCTAGTTAATCTTTTTTTTTGGTGAGGCAATTGGGGTTAAGTGCCCAAGGTCATACAGCTAGTATGTGTCAAGAGTCTGAGGCTGGATTTGAACCCAGGTCCTCCTGACTCCAAGGCTAGAGCTCTATCTACTGCGCCACCTAGCTGCCCCTATTTAATCCTTTTTAAACAGCCTGTTCCTAGCTGGGCATCTCTGATTGTCTTCCACTCTACTGAGCTGAAATCAGCACCACTTTCCCAGAATCCACCCCAGCCACACACACATTGGCCCCAGTCCTGCTCTCAGGAGCAAACAAATCTCATACTTCTTTCCCAGGTCCATGTACAAGACATTTAAATGATTTCTTGACTTGTCTTAACCATAAGAATGGAGAGGAGAATTTCAGTTCTCGATCTGACTGGCATTCATTAACAAGGAATCTTAGAGCAGAGGAGAGGGACTTTTCTTGGGCTGGGATATCACTGGTTGCACACTCCGTGGTGTAGAGACCTAACTAGCAATTTCTGCACCTGGATCAGGGCAAGTAACCCCAAATACATCCATGGCCAGCACAACAAATGTGACCTCAAGGCCCTCTGGATTCAGGGAGCCCAATGGGGTGGCTGGGGAAGGGAGGGAAACAGATTGAGATTAGTTAGGAAGGATCAACTCATGTAGGGTAGTAGGGACTCCAGAAGGCGAAGGGAGCTGTCCACCCTCAAGTTTCCAATTTGAATTAAAGTGCTAACCAGGTGTTAATTTCATTCGCTTCAGGGATTGTCAGGGCCCCCTAAGCTTCACAGCCTTTGTGGCAAAGTACCAGCCTCCCCCACTGTAGTTAGCATTCTAACATGATAAGAAGGGATCATTCCATTTAAGAATTAGTGACAGAAGAGCTGAGAGATTGAAGCATTATGTAATATACACCTCAGGGTTTTGCAGAAAAGATTTCAAAGGGTTCGGAAAATGGAGAGGTAGGGTTCCCTGCCTTAGAACTCCACGGCAGAATTAAACCTAGGAGAGATGGGAGACCCTCAAGAATGAAATTCTGAAGACACAAAAACAAAACAGAGGGGGAAAAGAGGGAGATGTCCAATAGGACTGATGTGGCTGCATAGTGAGCTCAGGGCTCAGCTTCGATTTTAAAAAGACCCATGCAGAGGATGGAAGCAAAGGCAGAGAACAGAGTGAAAACAAAGGAGTGCCATGGTCCTTTAAGCTCAGTGTCTGGAATTCTACAGCTCTGAAGGGGCTGGGGCAAGCTAGCAAGGAAAGGATGACAAAGAGGCTTGGTTGTTTTTCTTTTTAAACTACATTGAAGAAAGGAGGTGGATCAGGGTGTGTGGGTTGATGAAGAAAAAAACAAGATAGTAGGCAGGGCTGTCAAGCTGAGTCTGTCAACTCTGTGGTGACTTCTATTTTCTCTACCAAGGAGAATGATCTTTGGATTGACAATGGGGGCTGATGCCCAAGACAAGGAGGGAAGTGGTAAAACAAGCACCTAGCCACCCTTGATACTACACCCTTGGGTAATAAGACAAGCAGCGCACACACGGCTACCAAGTCACTGTCATTGAAAGATCACAGAGCATGGGAGAGGTACCATAGAACTGGAGGAGAAATATTGCCCAGAGTGCAGCTGGGGGCGCCATAGTGCATAGAGCTGGGGGCCTGGATTCAGGATGACTCATCTTCCTGAGTTCAAATCTGACCTCAAATGCTTACTAGCTGTGTGACCCTGGGCAAGTCACTTCCCCCTGTTTGCCTCAGTTTTCTTATCTGTAAAATGAGCTGGAGAAGGAAATGGCAAACCATTTTCTTTGCCAAGAAAACCCCAAATGGTGTCATGAGGAGTCAGACCATAGCTGAAAAACAACTAAACAACAAAATGTTGCCCAGATCTGCAAAAAGTAAAAATAAAAAGAGAACAGAGCCAGCAAATTAAAGGCCAGTGAGCCTTATTAATATTAATTATTATTATTAATATTATTAAATGCTGTCATTATTATTAAAGGGATGGTATATAAACATTTAGAAAAGAAAGCAGTGATTGCAAGAACAAGCATGTCTTCATCAAGGACAGGTCATACCATTGCATAAACTGACACAAGGTAAAGATGACAGAACTAGGAGGATAATAAACACAATGACTATAACAATGTAAATGGAAAGAACACTAAGAGCAGCTAGGTGGCCCAATGGATAAAGCCAGGGGTCAGAAAGACCTGAGTTTGAATCCAGTCTCAGACACTTACTGGCTGTGTGACCTAGGCCAGTCACTTAACCGCTGTCTGCCTCAGTTTTCTCAACTGTAAAATGGAGATAATAACAGCACCAACCTCACAGGGCTGTCTTGAGGATCAAATGAGATAATATTTGTAAAACACTTAGCATGGCGCCTGGCACATAGTAGGTGCTATCTAAAAGCTTATTCCCTTCCCCCGCCCTTAGCTTTCCTGGCTGGCGAGCTCCAGTCCCTTCTGAGCTTTAGAATCCCTGACGCTGCTTAGGGGACCACGGCACACTTCTGTTTTCATCCACAGTTATCTGCCCTTGCTTCCACCTCCTGTCTCTCTGCAACCTTGAGTCTCAGAGGGTTCTCTGGGGCACTAAGGGGATCGGTGACTTGCCTGGAGTCACACAACCTTTAAGGATCACAGGCGGGACCTGAAACCATGACCAACTGACTCAGGAACCAGACGGGTCAGACACAAAGCCCACTGCCTGCAGTTCAGCGGCCCCCATTGCTATTTGAGATTGATGGCCTCGGAGTCAGGAAGACCTGGGTTCGGGTTCGGACTCTGACACATCTTAGCTGTCTGACCCTGAGTGGGTCCCTTAACTTCTCAGGGGCTCCCAGACAGTCTTCAAAAACTCTAAATTTCATAACTGATTACTCCCCAATGGGGTGGAGGGTTCTTCCATACTAGGAGTTCCCAATCTCCATGAAGTCACAGGTCTGGACCAAAGGAAGTATCCGTACATATAAATATACATACACACTCATCCTTCATAATTACTGAGAGGGAGAATAAGGAATTGGGAGGTCTTTGATATTCTTTTTTTTCTTTTTGGCGAGGCAATTGGGATTAAGTGACTTGCCCAGGGTCACACAGCTAGTGGGTGTTGTATGTTTGAAGCCAGATTTGAACTCAGGTCCTCCTGACTCCAGGGCTGGTGCTCTATCTACTGTGCCACCCAGCTGCCCCAGGTCTTTGATATTCTTAATATGAAGCCTTTCCTGATGCCCCCACCTGTTAGTGTCCTCCCCACCAAGCTACCTTGTATAATCTGTATAGGTTGTATTTATTTTCCTTACAATTTCTGCATATGCAAATACAGGTCCATTTGTCTCCCCCAGTAGAATGTAAGCTCCTTTTGATTAGGGATTGTCATTCATCATACATGTATCCCCAACACCTGGTACATAATAGACCCTTGATAAATGATTGCCTATCAAGTGATTCTGGTCCTTTTGTTCTTCCAAATGAATCTTGTTATGATTTTGTCTAGCTCTATTAGGTAACCCCTTGCTGATCTGATTAGTAGAGCACTAAACCTGTAAATTAATTTCTGTAGTATCAACATTTTTATCATATTGACATGTCCCAACCATGCGTACTGAACACCCTTCCAGTTACTTAAGTTGTTCTCCATTTCTTTAAATAGCTCTTTGCAAATATACCTCTACAGGGATTGAATGTCCTTTGGTAGACTAACTCCTAGATACATATGTTGCATTTTGTGGTTATTTTGAATGGCTTTTCCTTTGCTAGAGCGCCTTCTCCTCTGAGATAACCTTCCATCTACTTCATAGATCTTGTATGTATCCAGTTTTGTACTCCTCTCATGTGAATGTGAGCTTCTTGAAGGGCAGGGATCATGTCTTTGCTTTTTCCTTGTCTCCTCAGCTATTAGCATGGTGAGCTGTACATAGTAAGCACTTAATAAATGCTTGCCTCCTGGGCTTTATCACCGTTACCTGGAAACACTGTCAAAGTCAGTGGTTTTATTTTGTTCTCTGCTACTGTCCTGAAGCTAGTCATTGTCCCAATTAGCCTGGGATTAGCATTGCTGGGCTGTAAATAAGTACCAGCTGGAACAGGAAGCTAGTCTCGTCTCCCTCTCTGTGCCTCAGTTTCCTCCTCTGTCAAATGGAACCTATAAGCCTGCGAGAGATGAGGTGTAGAAAGAGTTTTGCAAAACCCAAGGGAGGTTGTCCTGAGAGGCAGGGGCAGGGAAGGGTGTCCCTCGGGCCCTAGCCTCACCCTGGAGGGGCCAAGGGCTCTAGCTGTCCAGTATTCCCCTCCCCTTCCATCCCTCAGACTCACGGGCACTAGACGTGGGGCTGAAATGGTCCAAATAGCCCAGCTTCTTTTTCCGACGTTTGCTCTCGATGCCATGGGGGTCTGCAGGAGGAATCAGTACCACCGTCACCAATCATGATAATAATAACAACAGCAGCAGCAGCAGCAGCAGCTCCCATTTCCTGGGTGCTTTTCCATTTGGAAAGCTCTTTCCTCCCGGAACCCCAAAAATAAGGCCATGAAACCACTCTTAATTAATCCCATCTAACAGAGGAAGAAACTGAGGCTCAGAATCCTGAAGTCCCCTGCCAACAGTTTTACTAAACACCCAGCTTTCCAGTTCTCTGGCCCTTTAAGGCTGAGAAGGCAATTCTCCCAACCGTCCCAGGAGGTAGGCAGCGAAAGTACGACCAGCCCCAGGAGACCCAGGTTCAAAACGCGCTCTACTGCAAGCTTTCCCTCTGTGGGCTCCAACATCCCTTGTGTGGAAAATGAAGCAGTTGGATCAGATCTTGTCTAAGAGCGCTTCTGTTCTTTATTTTCTCATCCTCCCGCTCTACGTTACAAATGTGGAAACTGAGGCTCAGAGAGGCACTAAGCACACAAGTTGGTTTTCAGTGCCTGTTGAGGGGAAATGAACTACCCAGCAATCAGAACTGCCTCCAGGTGGAGTGGGCTGACTTAGGAGGGAGTGAGCTCCCCATCACTGGAAGGTTCCAAGCTGAAGGTTGCCCAAGGTCAGCCATCAATCTAAGAGGCAGCGTTGGGATTAGAACGAGGTTTCCTGACTCGAAGTCCAGAGGGTTTTCTACTCCATGACACTACCACCCTTACTCCTTTCTCTAGGGTCCCAGCCCTGACATGGGAGTCCCAAATAAGGCTTGGAAGGCCCAGCCCAGAATGTGTCTGTCTGTCTGGGCAAGGGGCCCAGGGGGGCCAGGGATGGCTTATTTTTGGTAGAAAAATGGGGGGAGGGAAGGCAGGGGTGGTAGAGAAGAGGTGGGCTCCCCACCTGAACTGCTCAGCTCTCCCAGGACATCCGGCATCCCTCGCTTTCTCTTCTTGTCCACACCATAGCTGTCTGCAGGAGGAAGAGACAAAGTTAGGAACTGGAGGGGTACGGGCAGGATGCTGGGCTTGGGGGGGGCGGGGTTCCAACCTGGCAGCCCCCAAAAAAGAATGTGAGGGGAAGCTGAATGAAACAAAGAATGATATTCAGAAACAGGGAAGGGATGGTACTAGGGTCATCTCTTCTGATTAGGTCTCACCTGGAAGCCTGAGAGTTGTGAAGGCTAAGAACAATGCCAGGATGGCTCCTGCCATATGAATCACAAAATCATAGAATCTGATAATTGGAAGGGACCTCTCAAAGAAAGAAATCTCTCTGAGAATCAGTGGAAGAAAGTAGGGCTGCTTAGCCTGGAGGAGACTGGGGAACCGGGCCATAACAGCTCCCTTCAGGTAGATGAGGGGAAAAGTCTTCTAGGAATGGCCAGAGGAAGTTCAGACAGGGAGGCTGGTGGGGGTATGGGCTGGGCTGCTGTCCACTTTCATGTTCCGTGGTTCTGCCACCGGCTGAAGCTTGTCATCCAGGCTGACGGTGACCGGAATGGGGAGAGGACCGCAGATCATGGGACATGAGGAGGTGATGAGGAACTGGGGGTGATCAGCCGGGAGAAGAGGAGGGGAGGAGGGGCAGATACAGCCTGCGTCCTCCTCTGGCATGCAGAAGGGGAATTAGTTTTGTTCTCCTTGGCCCCAGAAGGGAGAACCTAGGAGCCAGAGGGAGGGAAGTTATAGAAAGGCAGATGGTGAGCCGGCCTTGGGGCCAGGAAGATAGTCAGAGCTGACCTTTCAACGAGTCCTGGTTGTATGACCTTAACATTACCCATCATTCCCACATTCTGGGCAGCACCCTAAGACCAGACCTTACAGAGACCCAGTGCCAAGCACTGTGCCCTGGGCACGAGCTGGTCCTTAGTAAGTGTCTACTGAGAGGAAATGAGCCTCCCAAGATGGCTTGCCTTAGGAAGGAGTGAACTCCTCATCACTGAAAGGTTCCAAAGAGGGGATTGAGGAGTACTTGTTGAGGATTCAATAATGGGATTTTTACTGGGGGTGGGGGGGTGTTGGTGACAACCTCTGAGATTCCAGAGGCCTCAGCTGGCCTCCAGAACAGGGGCCAAGGGAGGAGGTGGGAGGCAGATGGAGAGGCTAGGAAGGAGCTGAAGGCTAGAGGGGACAAAGCCAGGTTGAGGATGGGATGGCGTTACCGTGGTCAAGGGGCAGATACGTGAAGGGTAGGGGCTCACTGCACACGCCGTCCGTGAGGCGCTGTAAGTACACATTGACGGTGACTGGCTCAGGGATGGACAAGTCCTCGTAGGGCGGAGTCTTGAACACTATGGCGATCTGCCTGTGTACATCAGCCTGGGAGAAGTCGGCCCGGCCTTCCCAGGAGGACGTGCTGAACACCACAGAGATGTCCTCTGGTGGGGAGGGAGGGAAAGTGACGGAGAGGAAGGGTGGACCAGGAGCAGCCCTCCCCCTTCCCAGGGCCTTTAGCTAGGTGGGCCACCCCTCCGCCCCAGCCCCCCACCCCAACCCCCTGCACACACTCATCAAACTCACAACCGTGTTTTTCTGCTCTTTGCTATGGCTTTGCCACTGACTCAGCGACGTGGCTTTGAACCCTTTGTCCTTGCTCAGCCTCAGTTTCCTCGACTCATAAAAGGAAGGATTTGGACTAGATGCCCTGCAATGTTCTTCCCACGCTAGAGTTCTGTGAGTCTAAAGACCCTTCCAACTCTAGAATTCAGTGATTCTAAGTTCTCCGTCAACTCTAGAATTCTTTGATTCAAACGTTCCTTTCCGCTCTAGCATTCTGTGAGTCTAAAGATCCTTCCAACTCTAGAATTCAGTGATTCTAAGGTCTTTGTCAACTCTAGAATTCTATGAGCCCAAGCTCCCTTCCCACTCTAGAATTCTATGAGTCTAAAGACCCTTCCAATTCTAGAATTCTGTGAGTCTAAGCTC